ATTCCACAACCAACCGGACGTTCCTTGTCAAGGACAGAGAATCCTGTCTGGATGTTCCTGTTTGCTCACAGGTAGCAAATTCTGTGGGCACCAGCAGAGAGAGCCCTGCCACCGCTGCTGTGGGACACAGGGATGTCACTGCTCCAGTGGGACTCCCAGGAGTGGCAGGCACCAGCTTCATTTAGTGCTGCGGTCAGAGGGAGGGACTTGCTGCTGCCGTGGTCTGGGTGAAAGGCTGAGAACTGATCAGTATTAAGATAAATCTCCGTTCGTGTATTTGAATGTTTCTCCCTTTGGCACGATGAAGCACAGCTGGCACCCACGTGATGTAGATGTGAGAGCTCTTGCTTTCATCTGTCTGGTGGCAAATTTAGGCTGTACCTGAAAGCTTTTTTTATTTTGGTAGAAATGATGGCTGATTTTTTTTTTTTTTATGAAAATAGAGGGTTCTTCTTGGATGCTGCTGCCTTGGTGGAATGCCATTTCTTTTTCAGGGTGTGCCCTGGTTGCAGCAAGATGCTGCTTTTTTTTTTTTTTTTTTTTTTGTGTGTGTGTGTGTGCCTTTCTTGTGGGGATGATTATTTTGGTTTCCAGAACACCCAGGGCATTTGCTCTTGCAGTCTTTTTCTTGATCCTCTGTCGTGATGACTCTGCCCTCTCCCAGCCTTGTGACTTGGTGTCTGTCTGTCTGTTATGGTATGGCCTGACCTGCATTTATGCCCTGCCACACCTTAGGTTCTGCTCAGAGCACCCAAGGTACTGTCTTTCTCAAGTTTGAATTAATAATTAATATAAAAAGCTTGAAAAAAAAAGAATTTTGTTACATAGTGTAATAACTGTTTGTAGATACTGTTCTGAGATGTAGGAATCTATTGGTGATATAAGAGGTTTTGTCTGTAAATAATCAGTTTAGAGTCAAAATGATTTTAATAAAGAGAATTCTTACACAATAATTCAATAAATTTTAATATACAACCTCTGTGTCATGCTTGTATTGCATGATGATGCAATTACACAGAATGTATTTGCCTCTTTTTCGTCCTATGTGGAAACTGTGTGCTCCTAAGCACCAGGACCCAGAAGCTGTGCAAGGAGCAAGGCTTTTCCCTCCTCCCTAGGCTGTGTTTCTTTAAGATAACCTTGTGCCAGCTTCCACTCTCTGCATCCCTCTGCAGTTTCCAGAGCTCAGTCACCATCCCTGCCCACGGGAGGAGGCAGTGTCCCTGCACAGACACTGGTGCTGGGCTGGCACTGGGGACACACGGTGTGTGGCAGCTCTGGTTGTGTCTCTCACTGTGGGTAAGGTACATTGTTGTCACTGTTGGTCACAACACAAGCCCGTGTTCTTAATTTACCAAAACAATTTAAATGATTTCACAGTTCTTCTCAGGCAGCAATCTGGCTCCTGGTCCATGTGTCCTCTTTTCTTCCCTCCCCTTCCTTTACTAGCAGAGTTTTTTAGAGTCTGCTTCTCCCCCTCTTTCAGTCCCTCCACTGTGTACTCTGTGTGTTCTTGTTGCCCTTTAAGGGGTCACAAGCCACTTGTCCCCTGCACGCTGCCCCGCAGGGCTCAGCACCCGGCCTGGCGCAGCCTCTGCCCCCTCCCTTGGTATTTTTAGTGCAGGGAAGGCAGGTGAGAGCACAGGGGCACAGGCAGGGGGAGAAGCGCTCTGGGAGGCCCTGGCCTGGGTTTGGCAGCCTGGAGCTGCAGCAGAGCTACTGCAGGCAGGGTTAACCCTTTGCTGCAGGGCTGGGGCCAGCTCTCGGCAGCCTCAGCCAGGAAACCCGAGCTGTGCGAGCCCAGGGCCCCAGTGAGGGGGAGGCCAAGCCATGCCCAGCTCCGGTGTGAGGCTTGTGGCAGTGGGGGAAAAAAAATGTGATTCTTACTGTGTGTGGCCTTTTCCTCCCCAGTGTTGCATAGCGTGGGATGCTCGGGCCCCCCCCAGGGCTGTGGGGAAGATGCTGCTGTGCTTGCTCTCCGAGAGAGAGGAACAGGGGAAGTGTGGGCTCTATGGCCACCAGCACCATGCTGTGATGGTGTTTGGCTGTGTGCAGGCACTGCTGCAGGGACTGAGGTTCCTCGGGTCCAGCAGTGTGGCACACGGATTGCTCTGGGAACAGGGATGGCTCTGCCAGGCAGAAGATGGTGCCACAGGAGCAAGTCCTGCTGGCACTGCTGGGAGCCGGGGAAGCTCAGGCAGCCCCACGGTTTCTGGGTCTGGAGAAGGCAGAGCAGAGGGGGAGGATTTCTCTGTTTCCATCTCAGTAGAGCTGTGAATTTCCCGCTATAAATAGTTGCTGTGGAGACTGTGAATCTACTGCAGGCTGACAGGCCTGCTGCCAGGGAGGCAGGGAGAGGCCAGCAGTAAAGTGAATCCACCGCAGCTGTCTGAGGTCTCCTGCTCTCCCAAAGCCAAGGTTGTTCCCAGAAGTGGTGCTGTGATCTGATACCCTGCCCCACTTCTCACCACGTCCATCTAGCGATGCAGAAGTTTGGTGGGCTCAAGGACATCCCTCCTGGGGCAGTGCAGACTAAAATCAGAGCAGGACCAGCTGGTATCTCACTTTGGGGAGCTCCAGAACGAGCCAGATGACAAATGGAATGGCGTGTCCTGCCCAGGAGCTGCTGCATGGTGAGTCTGTGCTGGGCCCTGGGGCTCAGAGCCCCACAGGGCGCTTGTGTGCTGTGACTTGCAGGGATGCTGTGCTCAGCAAGGGCTTGTAGGTCTGTGGTGGTGCAGAAGCTGAGTGTGTATTGCTCTGGTGAGTTCTCCCACTCCAAAGGTCCAGTGTCATAAGGCATGACAGGTGTTGGGCAGCTCTGTACACTGTACTCTGTGCAGGTTGGGGGGAGGAGTCCAGGCCAGACGTGAAGCATCACTCCTTGTCCATGGCTCTCACAAGCCACGTAGGAGCAGTTCTTGGGCTGAAGTTCTCTGAGCTAGTCCAGGATTGCAGTAATTCAGTGGGTTCTGCACAAAATAGTTGTAATGACAAAATCAAAATAAGTTGTATTTAATGTGAAAATGTCAAGAAATGAAGGATTAAAAGCACCAATTGTCCTTTATCACAAAGCTTAAAGAAGTGCATTTCACTTTCCTGTACCAAGTTGCATAGCAACACTCTTCAGCTTTTGCCAGTGCTTCCATCCAGAGAGGGTGGATGGAGGTAAATCTTGCATGCCTAAGGATAGACTTGTCTTGCCTCTGCAGCAACAAGGCCACCAGGGCCCAGTGAATGGCCCAAAAGCTCCATCAGCCCTAGGGCTAGGATGAATCTTACACTTTGGGTTTGCCTCTGGATCCTATTTTCTCACTGAAGTCTCTTATCACCAGAGCACTCTACCAAGGGAAGAAGCTGTTGAATATCCACACACTCATGAGTTTTCCTTTGGCAGGTGAATGGTTAGCCACATAATTAAACCTTGCTTGCTCTCAGCTCAGGCCCTGCTGTCCTCAGCATCTGAGTGAAGAAGGCTCAGGCAGATGCTGGTGGTGCAGGAGTGTGAGGGTACTGATAAGCTTAATCCATGCACTAATAAGGAAATTTTCGATTTCAGTTTTGTTTCATAGGTAAGATGTCAGCGAGTATTTGCTGTAAAGAATGGCCATGCAGACATGCATCAGCTGGGAGGTTTATACCTAAAGAGACTGATTCTAAACAGCATAAATGCAAGGGTTAGAGGTGTAGAAATGTGAGGAGGGGGAGGCATTTTGAGCTCTTTTCAGACTTCTGTGCAGGCTTGGGTGAACAGAGTAACGTCAGCTCTGACACTTTGGGTTTTTCCTGACTGGATGAAAGTCTTGAGCCCAGTCTGACCCTTAACTAGAACTGTGTTGGGAGCTCACTGGGTGCCCAAAGGCAGGCTGTGCCTCTGGCTGCTGTGCTGAGAGGAGCATCAGCACATGGAAAAAAACTTTAATGTTTTGAGGAAGTCAAAACTTTGAGTCAAAAAGGTGCTCTGTCTCAGCACCTGGAAGATGTTACTGTTCCAGAACAACTCCCTGCCACCAGCAATGCCAGCCCTCTATAACTATTTCTGAAAATCCTCTGGTTCAGATGAGTTCTTAGCTTTAGCGACCTGATTTGGAGGATTTAAAGTTCAATATTTCTACCTGTGCTAATGGTCTATGGGCATTACTATCACCTGTCTCGAGCTCTGACTGTGTGTTAGCCTGAAGCTTCAGCTGTACAGCAAGTGACATTTCCAAATTATGAAAGGCTGGATTGGGAGTGTCACAGCTACTATAGCTTAAGACTATATTTCATCAGCAACAAGGGCTCTGGGCTGCTATTTCAGGTGACCAGTACTGAAGCCAGTCCTAGCTGGCTAACTAGGGGGACAGCAGTTGGATCAGTCTGTCTGTGCTGTCTTGGTGTTTATGGCTTGGGCTGTCATAGTAACAAACCCTAGGAGCAGCCCCTTGCCAGGATGTCCTGTGGCCTTGCTGGGATGTCACAGGATGGTCAGTGATAAACCCATGCTCCAGCCCCAGGGCTGGACTGTGGGCAGAGAACCAGCACTGTAGTGTTTAGAATGCGAGTTCTCTTTCACACCCCTCTGGAACAGAAGCCTCCTCCTGCCAGCCAAAGCCCAAATTCCTTTCTCAGTCAGGATGGGGATAGGGAGGGGGTGCTTTCCCTGGCTGTGGGAGGGGATCCCACAGATCCTGCTAAGTCCCTGAAAATACACACTAGGAAACCTGAGACTCCCACCTGGCCCTGGCCTGGGACTAGCCTGCCAGCTTTCCTCTTCTGAACTCTTAAAATAATCCCTGTCTCCCTGAAGTGCCAAAAGTGTTTGTAACAGCCTGGCTCCAAGAGCTGCTGAAGGGAATGGGAAAGAAAGGGGTGAGGGCACAGCAGAGGTATGGCCACCCTGCAGCTCTCGAGCTCTCTTGAAAGGAGTAATGTGCTGAAGATCACACCACCCGTGTCCCACAGCTTGGGGTCCCACTGCCTCCATCCCCTCGTGCCAGGATCTGCCATGCTCCAGGACCATGGAGGAGCAGGTGCAGCAGGAGATGCCATCAGCCCAGTGCACAGGTCAGTCCTTGGGCATGAGGCTCCAGAGATGAGATTGTGCCAGGCTCCTCCCAGGCTAGAGGAGGCCCCTGGGACCTGTCAGACTGTCTTCAGCTGCTCGTTCAGTCTAAGAGCATTTACAGATGTCACTAACACCTCTTGGTGATGGTTTTCCACAGGAGGCCACCACCCCGTGCAGGAGGGAGAGGTGTTCAACACGAGGTACCAGGTGCTGCACAAGCTGGGAAGCGGCACCTTCGCCACTGTCTGGCTGTGCCAGGACATGAGGTGAGGGACTCTGTGCCATTCAGGGAGGTGGGAAGGCGTGGCTGATGTCCTGGGCGGGGCTGGCCCCTCTTGCAGAAACAGCAGAACACAGTCTGGGAGCATGCGAGGCATCCCTGACAGCAGGATCAGTGGGGTGCAACGAGCAGAGCTGGTCCCCAGAAATCAAAGAATGTAAATGAGGAGAGATCAGCCTTTGCTCGCATTTTCTTTTCTCGGTTAGACCCTGCAGTATCCATGTTCTTTTTCTCTCCAGTCCCTTGCTGGTCCCTGGGGCAGTTGTGCTGCCAGATGCCAGCAGGAGGGATGCCCAAGGGCCTGGCATGCTGTAGACCAAGGCCAAGGGTGCCTGCAGAAGGACAGCACCTTCCCTGGAGAGCCTAGGGCTGGCTGACTGGGAGAAAGGGAAGTGCTGCTGGTCACAGCCACTGACATGCACTGGATGACAGCTGTGGTTTGTTTCCCAGGAGGAAGAAGCAGGTAGCTGTGAAGGTTCTGAAAAGCAGGGAAGGCTTTGCTGAGACTGCCCAGGACGAGGTTGCTTTCCTCCGCTGTGTAAGTAAATTCTGAGGGTCTCTGCTTTGCTCAGTGGGCAGCCACGGCGTTCAGGTTTGACTAGCAGCCTCATCATCCCCTCTGCCTCCAGGTCGCAGTCCCAGGAGCTAGGTGAGGAATAGGAAAAAAACCCCAGAAACCGGGGAATTCATAGAAATCACCCTGGCTCAGCACTGGCCTCTGAAACAGGAAACTTTTCCTTACTCTATCATACTGGGACATGTTGGCTGTATCCCATTTGCCCTGTCAGCCCACTTCTTTTATCTGAGACTGAAATCCAGCAAAAATGAGAAATCTGCAGAATGATAAGGTGGATAATCAATAGAAGAAGGTGGTCATGTTCTTAAGCAGGAGATAGGAGCATGTCTGCTGTACTTGTGTCATTCACAGAGGAAAGTCACTCGAACATTGCTGTATCACAACACTGATACTGAAGTAAAAGAAAATATCTGCAATAGAAAAAAAATGGGATATCAAAATACAATAAATATCTGAAGTCAGCTTCTTCTGGCCTCTGCTAATGGAAGTGGTAATTAAGTGTCTGTATCTGGGTTGTAGCAAGTTGCCTTTGAAGTTGGCTTGAACTGCTAGTTCTAGAAATCTTCAATTCTTCAAGTTTGCTCAAATACAAAGTTACATCAGCTTCAGATGAGTAAAAGCTATTAAATTCTGCGCTCTAAATTACTCTGTGACCTTTCTCCAGAAGGTTTGAGAAAGGTTTAGTTAACACCTGTAAATCTGTAGGCCCTATCTAAAGGGAGATGAGCCAGATGCAGTGATGCAAGAGGAAGTACCAAGTGGCACTAATTTAATATAATCAGAGGGCTGCTTTTCTACACATCAGCACAACCCTGTATAGAGAGTGAGCCTTACCCCTAATTTATTATTAATTCTGAGAGACATGCCTGCCCATTCAGTAGCACACAGTTGGTTCCCAAGGCTGTTCCCACCAGCACTGGGGGGTTAGTGCCTGCAGAGCTGCCAGGAGATATGATCTGATCTCTGCTTTCAGGACTGCCCACTTCTATTGTGCCAGAACAGACCTTATGGCACTGGTACAGGTGGATCTGACATCTGCAAAATGAGCCAAGCCAAAACCTTGGCAGCTGTGGCCATGAAAAGAGAAAAAGCATCATTAATTGCTGTACCAGGATAAGTGCTCTGGGAGAGCAAGCCCCTGGTGCTCCTTGTCACACAGGTGTGTGGGGCTGGGGGTGCTGCAGCACCTGTGCCTGGAGGTTCACTCAACACAATACCCTGGGTCAACAGCACATGTCCAGGTGGGGTGCTGCTCCCACACTGAATGCTCCCCTGGCCTGTTGAATTTTCCAGCTGCAGGTTTCTCAGGCCAAAGATGATGCTTGTGTGGGCAGGAATTCTCAGTGGATTTACCTTGAACCCTTGCAAACCCCTGTGACATTCAGTACCCAGAGCCCCATGTTACAAGAACTGTTCCCAGTTACCCATGTGCTGTGTGAAGAACCATCTCTGCTTTGCTTTTGGACCTACTATATGCTGAGTTTGAAGACCCTGGCTCTAGTACAAAAAATATGTTCACCCCCTCCACCACCCCTCCATATCCTATAGATTACTGCAGTACTTGCCCACAGCCAACCCTTTTCCAGCACAAATAAGCTCTCTTCGCTGGGTTCTTCCAGTTGTGAAAGCTGCTCTCTACCCTGATAAGACAAGTAGCACTTGAGAGGCCAAAGACAGCCACTATGTCTCTGCCTCTCTGCAACCCCTCGAGGGAAATTGCTGAAGGGCTGTTGCGAGGCAAAGCCATTGATGCTGGGAGCAAGGAGCTGTCTTCTTGGGGGAATCCCCTTCCAGCACAAGCAGGAGCACTTTCTGGGTCTGCCTGGAGAATATAAGCAGCAGGAAATGTGCTAAATACAATCAGCAGGATTGGTGTGAGTGTGGTAGTTCCACCTGGTCAAGAGCAAGATAAAACATACAGAAACTAATTCCTGTTTTTTCCTGATGTTGTTTTCATGAGATTTGTTAAGAAGTGCCAACTCCCAGAAGAGAAAGTCTGTCAGGATAAAACAGGTACGAGGTGTCCTTGTGCATATATATGTCTCTAATTGCAGCTTTCTTGGAATCCTCTCCCTCAGGTAAGCTGCATGAAGAAGAAGGACCTGGCAGGAGAAAACATTGTCTGTTTGTTAGACGACTTCAGAATGATTGGAGAGAATGGTTTCCATATCCTTCTGTGGAGAGTGCTTTTCTGGGTCAGCAAAGCCTAGGTTTGCCGTGGAGAGCCACAGGATGGTATAAACCTGAGTGCTGTGCTGCCATGAGGAGGATGAGCAGGGTTGTAGCTGGACCGGGGCACATGGGCATGGCTGGAGAGGAGAGGCTGAATTAGGAGAAATTTGGTTGCTTTGGTGAAAGGCTTTTCCCTGTTAGTGATTCCCTAACTCTTTCCCACATGCGTGCCTGGTATTTGAGGTGCTGGGTCCTTCCATGCGATGCCTGATGGGAAACTACACAGCCCAGGGACTGCCCTTGCCTTTTGTGAAGAAGTCTTTACAGCAGGTGAGAACTTAGCTGCAATCAGGGAAGGGCACCAAGGGGCTGTTACAGTCTTCTTCCCAAGGGGAAGGGCTTGGGTGTTACTGCTAAGCCTACAGCCTCATCAAGTTTGGAAAGGAGTCAGGGTCACAAAGCAGCCTGCAGGTGTACACCAGAGAGTTAGGGCTGGCACTTCTGTTCCCATCAGCTCAGTAATTATTGGGTTCTCTGCTGCTTGTAGAAGTAGCAGGGGACAAACAGCCTGCCATAGTTCTACTTCTTGTGGGCAAATCATCTCTGCCCTCATGCTGCCCAGAGAAGTCCCCTCTGGCAGTAATGCCAGACTGCTGGATTTGCCTTGGCATCCAGCCACGGGCAGCACTGCCAGCTCCAGCAGCTTTCTGCATGGTACCACTAAAGGCTGCTCAAAGTCTCCCTCCCATCTTTACACGAATTTCTAGATTGCTGATTTGGTCAGCTGGTTCTCTTTCCATGTTGAGGATTCCCTGTGCAGAGCAAATTTTTCCTTCATCTCCTGTAAGGATGTGTTGGGCCTTACATAAGGATGTAAGGATGGGTGAAAGCTGAGTTTCTTCAGGGCTGGCTCTGCTTAGGGAATGGGAAACCTGAGTGAGGCTTCCGAATAGTTAACATTACTTCTTGCCTCTCATGCTGAGATTTATCAGAAGGCTGCACACTTGCCAAGATGAAGATTTGCTACCCTGATTCCTGTGCCCTTCTAGGAATACTAAGAAAGAAAATTGCTTCCTCCTTCATCCTATTTTCTATTATCCTACTACAGAAAATAAGCTACTACAGAAAGCCTCTCCTTTCTCTAAAGAAGCTCCACTAATACTTGAATAAGTTACACAAAAATGTGTTGGCATTACCTCTGTGCTCCATTTCACACTCAGGCTTTTGGTTGATACATTATCTGCTTTAATTGTAAAATCTCAGATCTGTTTTCCCCCTTCAGATCAGCACTGGGGCAGTATTTACTTCTGATTCATTCCAGTTTAGTTATTTAAATCTTCCCCATGTTTCACAGTTACCATTTAAGGCTGATATTTCCCTGAGGCTGGTGTTCATCCCAGAATAGAATTTGATAATACAGAGAATATTTACCAGTCCTTTATGACTGACCAGAGTGTTAGAAAACAAACTGAAATCTCCCCATAGCATTTTTTCTGTTACTGATTTCTGATAGTCACTGTTCATCTCTGGTAGGTGTTGTTTATCTCTCCCCTGTGACAGGCTAGGCTCTCCCTGCTGCATCACAAGCTGTTCTTTCCTTACATGACTCTCCTGCAGGGCCCTGAAATCCTCCCTCTGCACTCACTCATGATCTCTTCCCCTCCTGTCTGCGCTAGCCTGTGTCTTCTTTCCTTGTACAATGGGACACCCTCCCATGCCATGTCGTTGTCATTCATATGGAAGTTGGGGGCTGGTTATAATCAGCACAGAGGCACAGAGGTTTCAGGACACAACAGCCATATAAACAAGAATGTTTTTTCCAGGAGAAAGTTCAGCTTTGTAATCATAATGCCTCCTCATAGCCCCATCCTCTTCCCACCTCCCTGGGCTTGCCCATCCATGCTGATATCTGTGGATTGTCACACTGCCTTTTTACTGTGTATCACCTCAAACAGCCTTTTCTTCATTGGGCTGTCCAGGCCTCCAATTGCTCCTGGGGCTCTGCTGCCTTATGGGGTGATGAAACACTTGTGCCTGCTCCCACAGGCCACCCCAACAGGAAACCATTTATTGCCAATAGTTACCATCAGTGGCCAGACTGTCCCTGACTTGCACTCCTTCTGTGCCTGCCTGCTCTGGCAGCTGCTGGGGCAGGAGAGGCAGTGGGGACCCTTTCAGGGCTTGTGTGACAGTGCTGCCTCATTGTCCAGGTGTTGGCAGGGCTGCACTTCCTGCACAAGTGCTGCCGCATCATCCACGCAGACATCAAACCAGAGAACATCCTGCTGTGTGGATGCAGCAAAAAGCTCCAAAGGCTTATCATGGATACACTCGACTGCGACCAGGGAACAGGTGAGCAGTCCAGGTTTTTTTTAACAAGAAAACAGACTTAGGTTTTTATTGGCAGGAGAGAAATGAGAGGCAGCAGGTACAGATACATTAGGAAAAGTTCACATCTCCTGCAACAGCCAGTATAAAGCATTATAGTCAGCTTATGCTGCTGAAAGGCCTCTCCTTTCTCTGCTTAACACAAACACCAGGTTGGAGTCAAGGCACCTACAGAAATGTGGTCCTGCAGGTGGGTTTGTGTGAAGGACAACTACAGGTCACAGATACCTGTTAACAGCCCCACCATGACCTCGGAGCTCACTCTCAAGACTTTAGGTACAGGACAGTTCCACATATCTGATGTTTTCAGCTACTGAAAGGTTTACGTACAAAAAGGCTTGATCAGAAAGCTGTATGACTCTCCTGCTCTTTATTTCCCTCATTTCTGAGGTTTGTGGCAGACTTGTATGTGCTGCTAATCTTCAAGGCCTTCTGAGACATAATTTATTTGCACGGAATGGTGTGAATATTGAATAAGATGTAGGGCTGGAGAGTTTCTCGAGAGATTATCTCATCTCCCAGCAATGAGACCTTTCATATTATCCTTGCGCTCTGTTCTCCTGTGAGCGTTTCTCCCATGACAGTGTTGTTTTGTGTCTCAAACTCTGGGGCAATCAGGGAATGCTAAATTAGTGACCGAGTCTTTTGCTTGGAGCAGAAAAGCACAATATTAAACATAGGCTGACAGCTCACTGTAAGTCACTAAACCAGGAATTACCTTTTTCTGGGATCATATGGAAGCGTAAACTCCACGTTGCTTGCCAAGCAGGCTGTATCCAAGGTCTGTGACAGCCAGGATTGTTGAAGGCTGAGGAGAAATTACAGATGTTTTGGTTCTGACTGGTGCTCTCCTCTGGGCCCACAGTAATTTATCCTTGGTACTAGAGGAACCTTGCAGCAGGACAGGAGTATATGGTCACACTGTTCCACTCCAAGCTACTGTTCTCTCAAACATTCTCTTGTGTTTTTACTGGATACCAGGTCTTCTTTTGTGTTCCTTCAAAAAAGAGGGGTGGCATTTGATTTATGATAGAAAATATTTAGGACCTTTTGGGCCAAGAAACTTTAAGAGAAGGCAGACATGCCTCTCCTGTGGCAAGTGGTGTGTACCTGCTGGTTCAGAAAGACCTGATTTCTCTTTGTCCTTTTCATCTAGGAGGTGATCTTGCCAATCAGTTGGAAGAATCTGATTTAATGAGCATAGAGGTGAAAATTGCTGATCTAGGAAGCGCATGCTGGACAGTGAGTCTGCTCTGAGTCTCAATCCCATGACAATGTGGGATGCTGTGTGCTTTTTTCCATCCCACACTGTGTGTCTGTCTGTCCCTTTACAGCTGAACAGCTATTTCAGAGATGCTGATATTGGGGCGTGTTATGTTTGGCACTCTCAGCTCCAAGCTGTGCACGGTTTTCCTGAGACACTGTCAGCTTTGGACGTTTCTCCAATTTACAGTTAGTACCTACAACTAGAAATTTAGAACCCTGGTCGGTGTGAAGTGGTGGGAGGTAGATTCCCACTGGTGTCAGTGGGCCACGTGCTGGCCATGTCCTGTACAGAGCTGAGAACGCACATTCATTTGTGTCCCCAGTGTCCTGTCACTACACAAGAAGCTTGTGACCACCAGCGTTGCTGTGACTGGCTTAGAGACACCAGCCATAGGGCATTTGTTTCTATTTTAGTACAAGCCTTATTCCAAGGAGATCCAGACCCAGCCATACCGTGCCCTCGAAGTGCTTCTTGGATTAGACTACGGCACTCCTGCGGATATCTGGAGTACAGCCTGCCTGGTAGGATGGGGACAACACTGTGTGTGCAAGAGGAGGTGACAGACATTACCTGGCCAGGGCAGCATGTCCTTACCATCCACCTATCCATGTAAAGAAAGCTTCCTTTCTCTTTCTGAGAAGGCAAAAGGGGCTGTTGACACTCATTTGCCTTAGGGCAAATGTCTGCTGCTGGTACAACCCACTCCTAATTTAGTTTGAGCTCTAAGGCAATTCACACTCCATATAGATTAGTTCAGAGGCCTGCCTGCATCAGGCACATGCTGCTTTTCATTCAGAGCTAAAGGTGTTGTTTCACTGTGGTACAGATAAAGCCAGCGTATTTCCATATTTTAGGATCAGTTTTGTGTGATAAAGAGGGCAATTGGTACTATCAGTTAGTGAGCAAGGAAATCTCTAAGACAATTAGTGCATTAACAGTGCTACTCCATTTCTAGGCGTTTGAAATGGCAACTGGGGAGCGTCTATTCGATCCTCAACCTGGGAAATACTTCTCCAGAGACGATGGTAGGACTCCATCAGTTTTATTCATTTCACCAACAGAAGTGTCGCAGTCTGTATCTAAATTTGTCATCCCTCCCTCCATCTAGATCATGTTGCTCGTATTATTGAACTCTTGGGAAGAATTCCTACTGAAATTGTTTTCTCATGGAACAAGTCAACAAAATTTTTCAGCAGGCCAGGTAAGAACAGGCATAAGGAAGTTTATTTTTAAAATCGCTGCAGATCTCTGACACACTCCTACTCAGCTCATGCTGAACTCCCCCAAAAGTTATGCACACACAACGCAGGCTACAAGCAGGGATGGAACACAAAAGGAAATTTCATAAAGAGAAGTAACACTCCCTGCCCTGCCTATCTTTGCAATCCATGAGCATTCCAGGGGTGAATGCAAAATCCTGGAAAATGGTCATAGAAACACCCAACAGGGAAAGCATTTCCATTCTTTCTCCTTTGGATTTGGAGAAAATGGAAATACAGCCAGGAAACGGCTCCATGCCAGGAAGGCTCAGGAGTGTGTAACAGGCTGGATTTCACCCATTCACTGGCAGAGAACAATGATGACCAGGAATGGGGTACTCATATCCTTCCAATGTGTCTGCTATATTTAGTCGTCTGACCCAAGTGCAACATCTCTTCTGTTTTATTCTCCCCAGTTCCTTTCCCTTTGACTCATGAGTTTTGAAAGCCTTCTTTAACCACAAGGCATCACATGACTCCACCCTTCTGCAGTTTGGCCTATCATCCTTCTCTGCTTTTATGCTTACCAGCCTATCCACAGTTCATTCAGTGCTTAGTACTGGTACCATGCTGGACTTTAACAAGCACCTCCCTGCACATCCACATCCTTTGCTCATACTTATGTCTTCTATGGTTCTTAAAAGAAATGAGTCAAAACTAGTTCTACATTCTCACTCTCCCTGTGAACCAGCCTGGCCTGACCACACATGCCTAACTTGAATCACTGTATCTATACCATGCACTCCCCAGGATGAGGACTGCTTTTCTCTCATACACTCTGCTGGGCCCCACAGAGCTGGCTGGCACATAAATTCAACAAGAGTGTCTTGCTAGCTGTGACACTGAAATAGCATGATGCATTCGGGTGCACAGGGTACAAGCAGCAATGGCTCTGGCATGGTTATTCTGGGAACACTTTGTGCACTCTTGGCACATTCCCAGCTAAGAAAAGTACTCAGGAACAGGGAGACTCCAAACACGAGCTTGGAAAGGTGGCCCCTGAGAAGCACCCGAGAGCCAAACCTGCAAGGGGCAGCGAAGGTGGAGCTTACAGAGAAAATTCCAAGAAGGCGGCAAAGATCTTTCAGTACGCTTTGGGTTAATTCTGAGGCAAGGCGCGGCAGCCTCAGCCGCGCAGGTGTGACTGAGGCGCTGTGCCCACGGTGTTTCTCCCAGGCGCGCTCCTGCGGCTCTCCCGGCTCTACCCCCGTAGCCTCCCCGGCATCCTGGCGGACCGGCACGGCTGGACACCGCGGGAGGCGGCCGCCTTCGCCGCCTTCCTGCTGCCCGCGCTGCACTACGCGCCCGAGCGCCGCGCCAGCGCCGCACAGAGCCTGCGGCACGCCTGGATCGCCGCACCGTGACCCGACCCGGCTGTCCCCGCCTCGCGGCTCCGCGGGACCCGCCGCAGCAGCTGCACCGCCCTCCCGCGGGGATGGCGGGGCTGGGCCGGCTGCCACGGCGGGGGCGGCCGCCCGCCCGCAGCTCCCCGTGTGCCGCCTCTGCCGAGCGACCCCGGAGCAGGGCGGCGGCTGCGCAGCCCCCGCCGTGATCCCGCGGCTCCCTCTGCGCCCGGGCTCCTCTCTCTTCCTCCCACGTCCCTGCAGCGCGGCGGACCGCACGCATCGCTCACTGCGAGCGGCCGCAGCCGCGGTACACGGGCACCGGAACCGGGTTGAGCCCCTCGGCCGAGAGCGGGCAGCGAGCTCCCCGGGGCCCCTCCTGCCCGGCTCGGCAGCCCCTCCTACCGCGGAGGGGCCATCCCTCCGCCTCCCTGTCCCGCGGCCTTTGTTCGGGGCTCCAGGGTCGGGGACCGGCCGGCCCGGCCCGAGGAGGGGCGGTCTCAGCCGTGACGGGACCCCTGGCCCAGCCTCCCCCCCGCCGACACCCGCGCGCGCGGACGTGCCGCGCGGCAGGCCCCGCGCGCGCGCCGCCGCGCAGGCGCCCTGCTCCCCCCTCCGCCCAGACCTCCCGGCCGCCCCCCGCCCCGCCCCTTCGTTCTGCCACGTGTCCCGACGCGGGAGTTGCCCCGCGCCGAGCGATCGCACCCCGCCGGCCCCGCCCCTCGGCACGTAGCGCGGCTCGCCCGGCGGGCGCTGCCGCAGCCCGCCCGCCCCGCACCGCATCGACGCTGCCGGCGGCCGCCTCCCCTCCTCTCCGCGCCGAGTGGCAGCGCCGTGCGCCAATGGGACACGCGGACCGCGGGGCGCGCGGCGGGGCGGGTGCCTGGAGCCCAATGAGGCGGCAGCACGGGCGGGACCGCGGGAGGAGGTCGCCAATGGCGAAGGCGGGTGGGTGGGGCCATGGCGGCGGCGGGCGCCCCGGTGGGGCGGGACGCGGCGGCGTGACAGCCAACGGGGAGCGGCGTGGGCGTGCCCGGGGCGCCCCTGGCGCCGGCGCCGGGGATCCCCGTGTACCCAGTGCCGTTTCCGCCCGGCCCGGGGAGAAGCCGCCGCCGCCGCCGGGGGAGGGGCCGCCGCGGCCGAGCGCTCGCTCTCGCCGGCTGCCCGGGACACGCCGTGGCGCCGAGCCGGGCCTGGTGCCGCGCAGGGGCCCGGAGAACGGGCCGGCCAGGTAGGCGCGGGCAGGCGGGAACCGGCCGTACCCGGCGGCGGGAGGGAACGCTGGGGCGGGCGGCTGGGTGGACGGCTGCGGGGGCTCCTGGCGCGGCCCGCGGTCTGACGCTCTGCTCTGCGCTGCCTTGGCAGCCCGGTCGGCAGCGCCCCACCATGCTCCCGGAGGCCCGGCTCGAGCTGACCCGGTCCGGCGCGGTGTGCGGGCATCATGGCGGGCCCGGCGGTGCGCGGGCTCGGGACGCTGGTGGCCGGTGCAGTGCCAGGGCCGGAGTTGGGGCTGGAGCGGCCGCGGGGCTTTGTCGGTGAAGGCGAGCGCCGGGGAAGCCCCGCTGCAGCCCGGCCTTCTCCGCGCCCCCGTGTCCCTGCATTGTCCCGAGGGGCCGCGGGAGTCGTTGTCCGGCTCGGGGCAGCCTCCGGGCCGTGGCTGCCCGCTCCGAACCGCCGGCCACTCCAGGCCTCAGGGGAGGCGGTGTTTGACCTGCATTTTCTGCTTTCTCATGGTGCCCATGCGGCGCCTTCCTCCGTAACCCCCGCTCCCGGCGCCGGCGGCTGCAGCGCGGATCCTCCCGCACTTCCTCGCCCGTCACCGCGGCCACCGCTGCCGCCGGGGGGGGTTCCCCGCCGCGCTGCCCGCGCCTCGGCCCCGCTCCGACCCTCGACGGCACCGGCAAGGTCACTGTCGACCGGCGGCTCGTCCTTGGGTGCCGGTGACCGGAGTTCAGCGCCGGGCCGGGTGGGGAAGCGGCGCCGGGCAGCGTCTCGCCGTCCCGGGGGAGGGAAAGAGGCGAGGCCGCGTGTGGCCCTGTGGAAGCGGGGAAATGGGTGTAGCAGTGAGGGGGGGTTCGCAGCCCCTTCCCGGCCGTGTCCTCGTGTTCCTCTGACACCAGCTGAGATCCTGGGTGTGCTGCTGGTGGGGAAGAGGGTGTTCTGCGGGGCTGGAGAGGTGACGGGGTGCTGCAGGACTCCTGTGGCTGCTGCGGGCTCGGGCCATGATGTAATGAGAGCGTTGGGACTACGGTGGGGGCGAATCCCTCTCCTTGGGTGAGGGAAGAACTTGATGTTGGTGTCTGATGGTGTGCTGGTACATTACAGATTTCAGGCAGTTGCCCCCACCCTGACTGGATGTTGCTGCCGGAATCTAAATCCAAAAAAGGAATTTCTTAATTTTTTTCAATAATCAGAGATTCCTCTTTTCACTTATATAGGAAATACTAGGATTTCTTTTTTTCTGCTTCTTGTGGTTGACCCAGGAAGTCATCTTGTTGCTAGCATTCAGGTTTTTTGGGGTTTTTTTTGCTGTAGAGGTGCAGGGAGGAGGGTGTTGCTGTGCTCTGGATCCTGTGGGTAAGCGTTGAAGGCAGTGACAGCAGCTGCTGTTGGCTCTGGAGCTCTGGTTGCTATGAGAGAAGCTTCACTAGACTTGGCTGCTATCTCCAGGGAAGGACAGCAGAGCAGCCTCCATTAGTGTGGTGGTAGAGGGATGGCTGGCTCGGTTCAGCAAAGGACTTTACTTTTTGGGCCGTTTCCACAGGCCTAAATCAGGAGCAGGGGTATATTTTGGTCCTGTGGGACAAAAATGTCCAAGGTGGGTTTCATTACTGTTCTTGAGTTAATGGAATTACATTAAAGCGTGGGTTGGAAGCCCCAAGTTACCCTTTCCACATATTTTGGTCTGTGTGAAAAGTAGGGCAGCAAGAATTCATATGATCTTCCTGTGAAGTGAAGGCTGCAGTTGTGTCTTTTTTGAACTCCAGTCTCCTTCCCAGCCAGTAACAGAGCCAGATGCTTTTCTTATTGTTTGTATGTCTCCTTCCTCCCCTTCCAGCGCCTGGGCCCCACTTGCCTTATTGACTGGAATTTCTGCTGTGTGCAGTGGGTGTGTGCAGCAGACACCAGCCTGCTAGTGCTGAGGAGGGATTTTCCATTCACAGACCTGGGAACTGTCAAAATAAAGTCCCGACTCAACTTTAGGACTTGAAACAGAAAGTGGGGAGAGGGTTTTTCCTCTGCTGCAGAGTACAATTTATTCTCTGAGCTTCTTACATGCTTGTATGTCAAAATGTACAGGAAATGTTGCTCTGCTGTGAAATAGGGAGCTAAAACTCCTGTGGATAATGGGAAGGATTCCTCCCTTTCGATTGACTCAAATGCTTGAAGGAACAGTTTGCAGGAGGCCATTTTTGACGTGACTCTGTATTGTGGAATCTGCCAGCTCCCATCCACACTCTGTCTGCCTGACTGCAATAGCTTCCTTTTTTTTTTTTTTTTTTAAAGGAAGAATGAGTGCCTTTCTTATCTGCTTAACTAACCATTTGGCACTTGCCCCTGTCTGTATGATATTGTGCTGTCAAGTTGGAGCTATCAGCATATTCCAGTGTGTTTGTTAGAGATGAAACTGTTAGTTGAGGTATGCAGAATGGGAATACATTAGTATTAGAAAACACTGCCATCTTTGTAAACTAACACCTATCATGGGGAGCCCCTTGTCCTGGCCTGAGTTATCCAACTCAGAATTACTATGAGATCGAAGCAAAAAATTCCAGGACCAGAATAATGTGAGAGAGATTAAAATATGCCCTTAAATCCGCTTGACTGGCAGCAATTGTATGGTAGATGCCAAACTCTGAGTAGCTTTTATATTTGAGGATCTGTAGCACCCAAATTGCCTCATAAGGTGAGCAACTTTTAACCCTCCTAAAACACATCAGACTCTGGGGCTGGAGGTGTCCTCTGCTGCCTAACCTGGAGTGACATGACACTAGTACTGAACTCTGAATTTTGTCAGTATGAAAACTGCTCCTTGTTTTAATGAAATACAGAAAGTGATCTTCATGGCCCCTTAGTCTTTGTTTACAGTCTCTCTGTAGGTTGTTTACAGTCTCTCTGTAGGTTATAATGGGGAATTGGTCCATTGCCTCACATTTTGTTGGATAACTGGCTCTGCTTTGACAAGGCCCTGGCTCTTCATTTTACTGTCAAATCCCAAGTGACCTGAAAGTAATATTCCTTAGCTAATGTTGTCTGATATTTCCCTACTGCAAGGTGGGGTGATGAAATCCCAGGTATATTTAAATCACTTTTTAGAAAGAACCTCAGTTACTGTGAGATTTTATTTTAAAACTAATAGGTCAAAGTTGAAAACACTCAGGAAAGGGATGACATTGAACTGGAATCTCAGAACATGCAAAAGTTATGCTGTTTTTTTCTGGAGGAGGAAAGCCCAACCAGCAATCATTGATTTAAATTTTCCAGATGTTCCTTGAAGGAAAAAAAAGATATTTTTAATTCAACGTTCCAGTGTAAAGTGTGCATGGGAGAACTAAATGTGTGATGTCTTAGACACGTAGGTAATTTATTCATCTGTCCTGTGTATGCTTTCTCCCATTTTGGATGATCAGACTTTTACAAACTTGTGCTGAATGATATAATGAGATAAAAATGTTTCTATCTATTCTGGCAATATTAAAACAAACATAATGCCTGTTCAGAGGTTTGAAAATTCAAAAATCATTGTTTTCATGACATTATTGCTGTATTACAAAAGCACATTTGTGTTTTTACTCTGGTGCTGCTTGTGTGTGTAACTCTGAAATTTTGCCAATGAAATGCTGTGTTGTGTGTAGTGTATGAGAAGGATTGCAATAGGCAAAGTGTTCTTTATGTGAACAAAATGTAGTAGCAGTGCTTGAGTTGAAATGTTAAACGTGCTTAAGTGTGTAGTGTGTGCACTGTTAAGTCTCAGTTGCCCCTATAAAACTTAAACTGCTATTTGATTGTAAAATAAAGATTTTGTTGTGTTTTACTTGTCTATTTAGTTTTTTTTTCCCTCTTCCAAATTTAAAGAAAAATAGCTATGGATATTACAGCTGTTACAGATTCTACAGCCAGTCTTTGGTTCCCATGACTGACTTGTGGCAAGAGTTAGTGCACAGTAAGTTTGCACTTGCATTGTTAGGGACCAGTCTGTATAAATCTGGCTTAACCTAAACCTTTTGCTTATTTTGATCATGGAAAAAGCCTCAGACCATAATGCAGCAAGAGTTCAGCATTTTGAAACAGTGGGAGCTGAGATTTTTTTCCACTTTTTCCTTTTAATTCCTTATTGAAGTTGCTTGGGGGATCTTGGTTAGGGTTGGTTTGTTGTTTTGTTTTTTTTTTTTTTCCACAGGATTTGCTATATTGGTGGCAATTTTCCAGTATTCCTGTAGCAAATCAGCCGAGCTGCAGCCCCTGTCCCTGCTGAGCAGGGAGAATGTGCAGTGCTCCAGGCCTCCCCGCTGAGCTCACGCAGGGGTGGGACTTGCTAAGCTGCTGAAATCGCAGCTAATGCCCACTGAGCATGCTGAGAAACAGTTTTTCAACTGCTCCTAGTTTAAATTTTTTTTTTCTATAATTAGCAAAGATGCTCTTTGTCTTGAAGGATGATCTACAGGACAAATCAGGAGGTTCTCGTTCATCATCCCCCTTCCCCTCCACCCGAGCCAGTGGTGAAGTAGTATTTTCCTGTAACAAAAATAGCTAAAGGGATTTTTCCCTCACTTCAACCAATGAGTCTGAACTTGAAAAGCTGTAGCCCAAAAAAAGAAACCTTCAACAAATAATAGTCTTAAAGCTAGTTTTTGTTGCCACAAGTCCTATAGGAGCATCAACATGGTTGTTTAAATTGTAAATCTGCACCATTCTGACCCTTAAATCTAATTTAAATGCTGAAACAAGTAGAACAAACAAACTATATTTTAGATAATATATTTGAGAAAGAAAGTATTTCTTGGTGAGTTTTATTTTCCTCCTGCCAAACATGCACAAACCCCAATTACTTTAATGAGCAATATGGGAAATATTCAGCAAAGTGTTCTGATGTACTCAGACTTAAAGGTGGAAAAATGTGGGAGGATTTGTCAGCAGTTTGAGTGGCAGGCTTTTAGTGAGCGGGAGAAGTAATTTCTTTTGTGGTCAGGAATCTAATAGTCCCACATTCACCAAACATGAAGAAAAAAAGGGGGGGATGAAGAGAGAGGAACATAGAAGAGTGGCATTGAGAAATGGCCAGGAATTTGACTTTTAGAGTGAAGTTCAGAAATGATCTGTTGTTTATGCTAAAGTGTAATCCTTATAAACTTGATAACGTAGACAGGTCTTGCATTCCTCCCTGAGGGTCACAGAAGGGCTAAGTTTAGCAAAGGAGAGGTATCCCAAACACTCAGATCTATCTAGTTTTCAAGGCAGCAAACTTTTCTGTTTTCATCCTGTTCTAAGCATGCCTCGTTTTTTGTTTTGTTTTGGTTTTTTTTTCCACTTACAAGCAGCTTTTTGAGGCAGAATGTGAGTTAGCTGTAAAACCAAAATGCCCTAAAATATTTCAAAGTAATTTCATAGTAGAAAGGTCACGGTGCTTTTGATGTGTTCATATTTAGAGCATGATTACAATTACAATCATACACATTGACAAGAAGATATTGTCTGGATTTGGTAGCTGCTCATTTAGTGACTCAGGCCTATTCCTGTTGTCCTCACAGAACTCACACAAGGATTTTCTTCTGCAGCCTTGCTGATTTACAGGACAAAATGTTTTCAGTGACTGTGCCAGCAACCTGGAAAACAGTTTGAAGTTCTTTCTGATACTTTTTTTCTTTCTTGACTTTAAAGCAAGCAGTTTGAAATGCAGCTTGTTGATAGGGAAGGCGTGTGAGACCCTGCCACCAAACTTTTTAACAGAACATGCCTGCTGCTACTGATTCAGTAAAGGAAAAAAAAAAAAAAAGAAAAAAAGAGGATGCAGCTTGGAGTTTTAGTTCGTTGGCG